CTAGGGATTGATCCCAGTGTCTAAATCACTAAGCCACATCCCCAGACCATTTTTTTTTCCCTTACTTCATTTGCTGATTTTTTTTTTTTAATTTTTAGTTGTAGATGGACCCAATACCTTATTTATTTTTATGTGGTGCCAGAGATCAAACCCAGTGTCTCATGCATGCTAGACAAGTGCTTTACACTGAGCCATAACTCCAGCCCAGAACTTTTTATTCTGATATAGGATCTCCCTAAGTTGCTTAGGGCTCACTAAACTATTAAGGCTGGCCTCAAACGTGTGGGTCCCCGACTCACAAATCCTACTCTAGTTTTGTACCATAACTTAGCTGAAACTTCTAAAACTATTATTTAATGCATCTCTGGGTTCCACGTTCTTCACAAGTGGGTTGAACTAACTGATTTTTCCATCTCTTGTGAATTAGGCAGCCACTTTTCTACACCCCAAGATCTGAAAAAAATTATGGGGGAAACTGTAAAATCTCCCCCAGCTCTCCCAGGCAGGCTAGTCACTTGCTCCTCTGGGCTTCTAACAGCCATGTATGTGTATGCATATATATGTGTGTGTATAGATATATTTATACCTACATATAACGTATACATAACACGTGTGTCTATATACACACACACACACACACACACACACACACACACAAATACTTCCATTAAGCATTTATGAATAAGTTGTTTTTTTATTGTTGTCGTTGTTGTTGGTGGTGGTTTTTGTTGTTGTTTATTTTGGGTTTTCTTTTGTTTGGTTTTCTTCACTTTGCTTTGGTACCAGGGATTGAATCCAGGGATACTTTACCACTGAGCCACATACCCAGCCATTTTTATTTTATAATTTGAGACAGGATCTCACTAAATTGCTGAGGCTGGCTTTGAATTTGCAATCCTCCTGCCTCTGCCTCCCAAATTACTGGGATTACAGACTTGTACCACCATGCCTGGATATCACAAAGCTTTGAGAGATGTAAAGCTTAGTGGCTGAGGTAGAGGTAAGGTGAAGAACTACCTGGAGTCTAACTCTGGTTCTTTTTACTATCTGTATAACCTTGGGCAAGTTATTAACCTATGATTTAATTTCCTCACCTACAAAATAAGGATAATAATATCTATTCCACAGGATGGTTGTAGGAATTAAGCAAAATAAAATGTTTATAATTGTGTTTGCCACATAGATAATAATAATATTATTATTGTTATTATTATTAATGTTACTGTATTAACTTTCCTATTAGACACTGGGTTTCAGTTTTAACTAAATCTCTGTTCCTTTCTCATTCCCCTGAGCACCCTGTTTATGTTTTCTTCTGTGTCGCTTACCACAATAATATATTTATTTTTGTGTTTATTTTCCATCTCCCCAACAAGACTAACTTCCACAAAGTAGGGAAGATGACTGTATTGTTCACTCTTAAATCCCCATAGAAAACATACACAGTGGGCTGGGGATGTGGCTCAAGCGGTAGCGCGCTCGCCTTGCATGCGTGTGGCCCGGGTTCGATCCTCAGCACCACATACCAACAAAGATGTTGTGTCCGCCGAGAACTAAGAAATAAATATTAAAAAAATTCTCTCTCTCTCCTCTCTCATTCTCTAAAAAAAAAAAAAAAAAAGAAAACATACACAGTAACTGGTCCTGGACAGGCACTCAAATACCTGTTGAATAAACAGCACATGAGCTGGCATTGTTCAGTGTTTGCTGAATCAATTAACCTAGCTAAAGGTGATTGTCAAAGCTGAGGCCTGGAAGCAGATGATGTCCTGGCTGCCTCAGGATTAGTGTGTCCCTCTACCCAACCCCCAGTATTATCTTCAGCCAAGCCCCACCCACCTGGTCTTGGCCTCAGCCCAGTTCCGGGAGCCACCCTCAGCTAAAATTAGCATAGCTACCAAGATGGCCAGGCCATTTATAGCCTTGGAGGCAGCAGCAACTAGCTGGGTGGGCAGGCAGGGCTCTGGTCTGCCACACTATTAGGGATTGATTGAGAAGCCAACCACCACTCTTTATATTGTTTAAGATGCCTATCCTCCAAGGCCCTATTTTAGCTATATATAACCAAATCACAATTCTTGATTAGAGACCCTCAATACTTCCAACATTGGCAGCCCCAACTACAGACTACCTTGTACATACTCTACAGAAAACATTTTTGAGTTTCTGAAGCCTAAGCAAAGTTCCATTATCCATCAGGCCAACTTCAGAAATGCAGGCCCCCCAGCCAGGCACAGACCTTTACTGAGAAAGTAACTTAACACAGCTGGGCATGAAGCTATTAAAAAGTCAGAAAGTGTCAGAAAAGACCTCTACACTGCTCATTAAGAAAGCCTCATATCAGAGCATCTGCCTTCACTGCAGGTCAGGCATTTAATAATACTTAGTGTGTGTATTGGAAAGACAAAGCATTTTTAACTAAATCCTTCTTAGAATCAAATCTTACACCTAACTAAGAGACAGGTACTTTTATCCAAAACTGAATTTTCTGAGTACCTGCAACACACTCTCCAAAGATCTAAGCTATGAAGTCACCAGGGCCTGCCTAATTGCCAAAGAACAAGTCCCACCTAGCACTTCTTAATCAGGACAGGACCTGAAAAGATGGAAAAAGTCCAGTACTTAAGCATCAGAAGACTGCCTACAACACCAAGCACAGGACCCAGTTTCTTCACCCATGCAAATAAGGATGTATTATCCTACCCTTGATTCCAAAAGGGATACTATGAGACTTTATAGGAAAAATAACTGTGTAACTATAAAATACAAACTGAAGAGAACACAAATTTACTAGGAATGTTGAATCTGACTTAGAAAAGTGGTAGCTTTAAGAGCAAGTAAAACTCCTGGGGTTGGGGTTGTGGCTCAGTGGTAGAGCGCTTGCTTAGCACATGTGAGTCACTGGGTTAGATTCTCAGCACCACATACAAATAAATAAAATAAAGGTATGAATAAAATAAAGGTCCATCAACAAACTTTAAATAAATAAATAAATAAATAGATAGATAGATAGATAGATAGATAGATAGATAAATACTCCACCTGTGTTGTGAGGATACACAGGGGTTGGAAAGGTTCCTAGTTGCAAGAAAATTTCTCCCCAAACCCTTTTGCAGAACCCAATCTATGAACCACCTCTTCTCTGTCTGAGTCAGAGACAAAGTCCCAGAAAGACCTAATGGGACAACCTACTAGAAAAATGGGACATCCAGGTTCCCACAAACCAGTCATTCACAGCGCCTAGGAAGTCTCTCTGAGACATTCCTCCCTAGAATTCATTACTATTGTGGCAAGAGAAACCAATTTCTGAACTGAGAAAGAAAAGGACAAAATCAATAAGAAAAGACCAAAAATGAGGACTCAGTATAAGCCTCTTTAATATGTTATACGGAGGGCTGGCTCCATAAGTTTAAGTCATGGAATGATCCTGAGGGATGCTGGAATGCTTCTTACCTTGGGGTAGGAGAGGAGATTCTTGAGAGCTAGCTAATGCCTAAAACTCAAAACATTCCTTTTAGGGGCTGGGGGGCTGGGAATGTAGATCAGTGGTACAGTAGTTGCCTGGCATGCATGAGGCCCTGGGTTTGATCCCCTACCCCACCAAAAAAAAAAAAAAAAAAAAAAACTTAATAGAATCCTCTCAAAAATATTCATTTCATGGTTAGAGTTTCATATATTGAAGTGGGAAAAATGGGACATATTAATTATAAACAGGGATATCATTGGGAACAGCAGAGGTGTTCCTCAGATGTCTTTCATAGCACAGTAAAAACCAAGCTTAGGGCTAGGCTTCAGGAGTCAAGGAAATTTCCTATAGAGAGACAGAATTAATTTGAAAGAAGAACCTACCCCCTATCTTTAAAAAGTAACAGCTAAGAGGGCCATGCTTGCTTGCATACAAGACAACACAGGCCTTATTGAGAAATCAGCCCTTGGGGAATCTGGAATCACAGAGCCCAGTCAAGTAACTTAAGGGTGGGGTGGGGGTGCCCAAGAAAAGGCCTACCACTAATGCCAGGTTCTGGATCCATCCATGAAAGTTTCCGACCACTGTATTTCTTTTCCTACTTGCATCAGCAGGTACTGAGCCGCCATCACTTCACTTGAGTTTGCTAGCCTCAAAATAATTCAGTATAACAACCCCCTGAGGGGGACCCTGCCTTCAGGTCACAGATCAGAGCGACTAGGCAAGAGAAATGAGAAAAGGCAACCAATCTTCAAAGTTTTATGTAAAATAAGTTGATTTAAAAAGTGTTCCTTTCTATTGCAAGAGTATACCAGGACTCCTGCTATGTGACAAGTTCAACAAGTGCACAGGAAAAATCAGGACAGATAAAAAATAACATGGAATATCTATACTCATCAGTCAGAAGAAACAAAGTAAGTTAACAAGTAATATTAATATTACAAATAATATTATGCTAATGTCCAAATAAAGGCCATTTTACTCCTTAGTGGTAAATAAGATCCCATCTAAGGATTTGCCTTGATATGTCAATTGGGCCCAGCTAAGAAACAGATTACTTAAAGGAAGGGAGGGACTAGGGTTCCCATGGTGGTTGGAACAGAAAGACAAACCTGAACACCAGGCTACCAACAACAAGCTGGCCCAGCCTTGATTTTCCCTGCTCATCCTGAGTGGTCTCAACCCCCCTCTACTATCAAGTGCTGAAACTGGCTAAAAGCAGCTCAGTAAGTCATCCTTCCACACAAGTAATCTTAAGATGGAGCCTGATCTGAAAGGTCAAAGTGCCCCAAAGTCTTTTTCTCCTTGCAACAAAAGACATCCTGAGGAGGGATGAGGAAAGTTATTCAGGGAGATAGTAACATTAGCCATGACCCCTTAACAGAAAGAACTTCTTGGACGACAGAAACTAGACAATTATGTGTGGATCCTCCACCAACCTCACATGTACAAACCTACATTGACTTACCCACTTTGGGCTACTCAGTTCTAAGTTAAAGCCCACAGCACAGTCCAGCCCGCAGCAAGGCCTTACCTGCTGCAGTGGACTCCTCAGAAGTGGCCCCTGAGCCGGTTCCTGTGGCCTTCTCGCTATGACTATGACTGAGGCTCTGGCCCTGATGCAGGAGAAGCCCCCAGAGGAGCCACAGGGCAAGACGAGCGCAAACATCCATGACTCTAGGTCTCAATCCACATGCGCCTTAAGTGAACACCTTGCAATCCCAGAAGCGAAGCCCAGAGTCCGGGAGTGCAGCCGACGGTCCCCAGGCAAGATGCCCTCCCAGCGCCGCAGCTGTCCAGCCACCTGCGGGCCTGCCTCCTCCGACAGTCAAAGGTCAAGTGCTCCAAGTTTGGGCGCGGGAGGAGGACCGGGCCTCTGGTCCAACAGTGGGTCCGCCGGAGCTGCAGCGGCCTGAGCTCGGGCGGCTTCCGGAGAGTTTGGGAAGGGTGGCTGCGGGGCTGCCGTCAGCTCCGCAGCCTGCTACACCCTTGAGAAAGGGGGCGGGCAGGATCTCCCGCGGGTACCGAGGTGGGGGAGGGAAAGAAGAGAACGGGGACACCTGACCTCGCCCCGCGAAGGAGCGGCAAGCAGAAGCTCGGGGAGGGCGTGCGACTCGCAGGCCCCAGCGGGTAGCGGCGTCTCCGGGATCCAAAGCCTCCTAGGCCGAGGTCAGCGCCTCCGCCCAGTCCGGTG